GTACTCTGCTTCTGACGGAAGAACCGGTAAAGCCTCTGAATTGCGGTCTGACCGCAAACACAACGCACACAGTGTTCCATCATCAAAATCCTCAAAGATATCTTCGAACAAGTAACATTGTCGGAGATCTGATCGTTCATCACCCACAAGACACTGCGAAAGCAGCACAGCAAACCTTGGATCAAGTGCGTTAGCAGAGTCATAGCCTTCTTCCAACGACTCCAAACGGCCAAATGATCCATCAGGCAGATTAGTGAGAAAAGAAAGCTCACCATGCTGACGCTTACCGTGGTCATCTCCCCCTGAAGGAAGTACACCACGGTTCTTGAAGGTGTGGAATGAAAGTCCTCTCCTCCACTTCAGCGAGCGACTACTCTGCGAAAGCCAAAACCCACAATGAGAAGGATACATGATGGTCACGAAGTATCCATCACCCTTGTCATCTTGCCAACGGCAGACTTCGGCACAAAAGTGCCAGAAGGCATTGGTAGCCTTCCTGGTCCAACCATCAGGGATGACAGGATGAATAAAAATGTGATTAGGCTCTGCCTTCAAGATCACTCGCCAAGCGGCCTCAATCGAAGATTGGATAGACTTGGCGTTCCATTCACCAAACAACACAGGTTCACTCGCATCAAGTCCAGAATGGACTGTGCACGCAGTAAGCCCGGTGAGGCGAGGTGTGATCTCAACGAAATCGCTCTTGCCTGAAGTGAGAGTGTGGTAACAGATCTCATGCTCATAGCAGAACCCAGAACCGGCACGATCAAGAATATCGTCGCCGATGCGGTCGAGTGCCTCTTCCTGAGAAGAGCGTCTCGGGACCTCATCTTTCTTCAGAGGAATGGCCACATCATGCCACGGATCTCCATCACGCCTGACCTTCGACTGATTAACCCGAAGAACGGCACGATGAACTTCAACCAACACCATGGCACCTTCCTGTGACACAACTATGCCTCTGACCCAGGTTCCTTCAGACTTCTTCTTCGACTCATCCTTATGCCAAACAAACACGCGGTCACCCTTCGAGTAAGGACCATCAGACGGCATGACTCTCCGTGCAAGGTCCTTCCGAAGGTCAAGTGATTGTCTAGCCTCTTGATGAGCCCGCATGGCAATCCTCTGGAGTTCCAGAGTGGTTCGATCCTCCTCGGCAGGTTCAGCAGAGAGCTGTTCAGGAGAACTGTTCTCGACATCAAACAAGTCTGGTGGCCGTCTTCCTGTAGCTATCTCCAAAGGAGAATAGCCTGAGACGGTAAGCTGGCAATTTCTTGCCCAAGCCACCTTCTTGACTGCTTGACGAACAGTCACCTTCTCTGCATAACCCTCATCAGCTAAGGCCTTGGCCATGATTGCCCAGGTGCGCTTGAAAAGACGCACTGCGGTCTCAGCTCGATTAGGCCAAGGAGTCCGTGGTCCACATGGATACGGAGTAATGCCATGGAACTTGTAGTAAGACATGAACTGCGGCGTGAAAAATGCTTGATCTCCTACGATTCCCTTAGGAACGCAGTTGTTCTCCTCTGTCCATTGTCTAAAAGCTCCCAGAGTCTCTGGCGCTTCCAGGCTTGTAAGAGCCGTAGCCCACAGAAGATTTGAAGCACCATCAATGATGACCAAAGCCAAGTAGGCTTTAGTACCGAACTTGATTTCTTCATGATCAACAAAAATGAGATCACCGAAGGATGATGCTCTTAACCCTGCGATTCTGGCTCGCGGAGGCGTAGGCACCGAGGTGCTGCAAACACGACAGCCTTTGACAATGCGGTCGTACTTGTCATAGATCTCTCCTGGCAGACCAAGCATGCTGGTCCTGCGTCGAAACTGAGCAGGACTCATGTGGTAATGCTTCACATGCAACTTGTAAAGCTCAACATCATTGTTCAGCTTTTCCAACATGCGCTGATACTGCGGAGAAGCCCTTGAGACCTCGTGGCCTGGCAACGGAAGCGCGATCCTCCTAGGTTCTAGCGACTGTGGCTCTGGGGCCTTCGGGAGGACTCGGAGGAAGCAAATCTGCATCCCCCGGTTCGGAAGGTTCGTACTCTTGAAGATCCGGATCATCCTCAGGAGCAAGAGGAGGAGGAGCCGGTTCCTCGGGTGCCTTTCCCTGTGGAAAGCTTCCCTTGGCTCGAATCCTTCTCTTTGCCGGTGCCTTTCCCTGAGGAAAGCTTCCGGATGCTCCTGTGTTCTTCGAGCTGTCTTCAGGCTTACCTGCGCTAACCATGTCCTCTGGAGATCCTACCTTTCCACGGGTTGGATCCTTGGACTTGGCTGGCACCGAGGTTCTACTCTCGATGCCACCAGGCAGAATCTTGAAAATGGTCTTGCCTTTCCAAGAGTCAGTAGTTCTTGTTGAAGAAAGCTCAGAAGAACGCCAGTCATCTTCTTGAGTAACGCTCTTTCCCTTGGAGAACTCCATGATCGTCTTGCGCTTGGTGTCCAGATACTCCAACGGAATTGGCACATAACCCGCCTTGGGTTCGTACTTGACTCTTCTCATCTTCTTGTGGATGCGAATCATTTCCATGTCGGCTTCGTTGATCACCCATTCATCATCAGTCGCCAACACGAGATTGTCGGGTACCTGTTCATGAGAACAGCATCCCTCGGTCTTCTGATGGAAGCCGTACTCGTAGTGGGAGAAGTAGGTGAGGAAGCTCGACTTCTTATGCTTGCTGAAACGCACATTCCACATCAGCTGACTGAGTTCAAGAAGATCAAGTACCAAGTGTGAGCTGGGTGCAACCTTCAGCCTCACATCCTTGATTCCCAGCACAGGGCTGCTGAGCAAGGCCTTTTCCGGATGGAGCTCGAACTGGAAACGAAGATTGCGCATCTGAGGTAAGGACATGAGAATGGGAACATGCCCTTGTTCCACAATGTCGAACTCTGTGGATTGAACTGCAAAGTCCCGGTCGTACATGCAAATGACCAACTTCTGGTTGCATTTGGTAGACTCGGAATTGGCAAAGGTGAACTGAGAAGTGGTCTCAGCAATGGTGTACCATATGCCACAGTTCTGGTTCTTGTCACAGAACTCCATGAGGTCCTGTGCGGCCACTCTCGAAGCCATTGCTCTCGTGCATCCCAGGTCCAACACCATCGCGGTCGGCGTCAAGGGCTGAGAGATGAAGGCTTCCTCGATCTCATTGATCTTCTCTTCGGTGGCCATGAAAGAAAAGTTCGGAGTGTTGAGATGTTCAACGAAGAAGGTTGTGGCGGCTGTGGTGCCGCTCGGGGCAGCATCAGCAAGCTGGCTCTGTCCGTCTTTCCGCACTTTCCATCTTTTCCATCCTTGCCAAACTTGCTCTTTCCTTTGCCCTTCTTTCCTTTCTTCCCTTTTCCTTTGGCTGCATAGGATTCCTCAGACTCGTACCAGGACCAGTCATCCCAGGACTGATCGCTCCACTGGTAATCTTGCCATTGTCCTTCTGCTTGCCATGCTTCTGATTCTTCGGCAAGATGTGACCTGCCTTTCTTCCTTTTGAAGAAGCGCCTTCCTTTGGATCCTTTGCCACCTTTTCCTTTGCCTTTACGGTGGCCCTTGAATCCGCGCCTCATCTTGCGGCCTTGGAAGCGCCGCTGGAACCATGAATAGTTCTCGTCGTCGTAGACCCAGAAGGCGTCCTCATCCGCTTCGAGGAAACCTTCGGTGCCATCTTCCTCGTCCTCAACCCAGTAGCCTTCATGATCGTTCAAATATCCTTCATCGATCACAAGGAAAGTCTTGCGGCCACCGTGGCCGGAAGGAGCGAGGAGTGGATTGTCGACGGTAGTCTTGGTCGTACAGAAAATCTCCAGGTAGACTTCGCGAAGCTCGGCCGTGTTGTAGTCAGCCAGGACTCGGTTCCGATGCGCCATCAGTGATGTCAACACCTGACGCTGATCCTGTGTCAGATCAGACAGGGACACAAAGATCAAAGCGACCAGGTTGGGCGTGATCGGAATGGTCCGAGCATGCTGCTCTCTGAGCCGTTCGTTGGCTCTCTCCATTGCCTGAGCTGGCGTAAGGTTTTCTTGTTCTTCTGGAGGAAGTCCTACTATGAAAGCTCTGACCTCTGCATTGTTCGGGTCCTCGATCGGCAGATAGGTATCGTTCCACGCTTCTTGCATTCTCTGAACAGAGAGTTGAAACCTGGTAATCCAACGAAGCATGTCTCCGTTCCCACGGTGCATGTTCATGAACTGCTGGAAGCGATAGAGAAAAACATTCGCTGCTCCCTTCACGAAAAGCGGCCGCAGGAAACTCTTGAAGTACTTCACTCCGTTGTTCGGGTCCTTCAGGCGATCTCTGTCGAGAAGCCTCTTGTGGATTGCTGCTTCACCTTCTAGCCGATTTCTCAAAGCTGGTCCACGCTTATCATTGTTTGATAACACTCGCTCTCGCTTACATCTGAGGTGCGGACTCGCATAGGCAAGCTCGCGCAAACAGCATCTTTTTCGTTTGCAAAGAGGGGGAGATCAGGTGCGTGCAGACATATGCCATGAAAAGAGGCAGTAGCGTCATGACACCCATGACGAAGTCCCTCGAACAGACTCGCGAGAGCCTGCTGCATCAGAGCATGGACTTCAAGCACTTCTCACCCGGGCGGGCTGGGCGGGCATCACTTTGACCAGACACCCTGGTCTTTCCCACCCTCCCATCCCCTTGATCGACCAATCATCCAGATGTAAGCAATGATGCTCATTGCATCATGACACTCATGTTACAAACAAGGCGCCACGAGGAATCGTGTTGCAACTTGTTTGATAACACTCGCTCTCGCTTACATCTGAGGTGCGGACTCGCATAGGCAAGCTCGCGCAAACAGCATCTTTTTCGTTTGCAAAGAGGGGGAGATCAGGTGCGTGCAGACATATGCCATGAAAAGAGGCAGTAGCGTCATGACACCCATGACGAAGTCCCTCGAACAGACTCGCGAGAGCCTGCTGCATCAGAGCATGGACTTCAAGCACTTCTCACCCCACTCACATGCGAGGAGTCCACACGCGCATCACAGAGCATCACGAACAAGGGCCCAGGGAAAAGTCAAGAGTTGAGAATTCAACGAGTCAACTAAAGTACAATCCAATCTCGAAGGTGCGTCCGCGATGTTTGAATCGGACGGAACCCGTGAAACCCAAAGGTGAGTGGAATTCTCCCACACGACTGACGACAAAAGCTGAACAAGTCTGTTCATTGCTAGAACAGGGGAAAACATATTGACCATGCATGCACGAGCGGCCTCGTTGTCTATGTAACAGAAAACCCGACGTCCTTTGAGGAGAGGGGCAATCTTACACACTGTCGCCACAGCCGCCATTAGCTCTAGGCAGGCGATCACCTTGGGAGATTTTTGTTGGACGTGCCGCAAGAGCGCCTCGGGCACAGCAGCTGAGATGTGATACATTCTCTGTCCGTCATTCGATTCCAGATAAATGACAGCCCCCACTGAAGCCACAGAATCATTGTCTTCGAGAGCCGCGTCGGTGAAGATAACAGCGCGTGTAGCTGACCGTGCTGCTTCTACATATCGGGGCCTACAAACTCTGACAAAATCCCTCGCCCACTCCAGCTCGTCCCTGAGCTCGGAGTTGATGTGTGAAGACGAATCACTCCCACAAGCTCTTTTATGAAAGCGACGCATGCGCTGGCGAACAATGCGGCCGAACATGTGGGACTCGGCGAACTGTAATCTTCCGCGGAGAGCTGCTGCCACCGCCACTGTAAGCCTCCCAGTCGCGAGAATCTGGGCCACTTGACCCGAAATCTGCTCCACTCTGCTGGCCTTGTTGCCAACCTTGACTTTTCCCAGTGATGATTCAGATAAGTCCACAGTGACGCCTAATGCATCGAATTTGCGAGCTGCCGGTCTCCTCTTGCTGTCCTTCCGCGAGAACCGCCAACCTAGCAGGGAGAGGAGCCTCTCTGCCGCATATTGTGCTTCGTCACCACAGGCCTCAAGGTCGATTTGAGGAAAATCGTCGTAGTAATTCCCCCAAACGAGAAAGAACAGTCGCGAGCCTATCCTATGCAATGCACGGCTCAGTCGGTTGAACGAGTACACGGCCGAAGAGCCGCCAAACGGTAGAACGTTGGCAATGAAGAGTGAGTTCCCCCCGGAAGGGTTTCTAACAGTCAGAACTCCAGCCCACTGCGAAGCCTTAGCGATCAACATCTGCTTGTATGCAGCCTCCAAGTCGAGCGTCCGCCCGACAAGCGTTTTGGCTTGCTGAACGGTCAGCGAAGAATGCAAAAGCCCTCGCAACTCGGTACCACTAGACAATCTAAGCACGACCGTTCTGTCCTCGAACACAGCCTCGACAAAAGCACGACACAACACCACAACTTCATCGACTCCACCGAGGTCCAACTTGTAGGAGGACGCGAAACCTGCATTCACAAGTGTCTCTGACATGTCATCAATCATTCGGACCTTGTCAGACTGCTCCAAGCCAAAACGTCTACTTGCTACAAACAAAGGCCCAAGCCGTTCCGCAACCTCTGATTCACTGTAAGGGCCCGATAGCCAGCCTTTGGAAACCTCGTCAAGAGTGGCCGTCCAAACCGCCTCAGCAATGCAAGTATCATCATCGGGGCGCTGACGCCCCAACACTTTCCTCCTAGTCCAACGTGCGGCTTTCATGACCTGCGCTTGAGTAAGTGCTGGTACGGCCTCGACGGGGTCAAACAAGTTGGAATAACCTCCTATGCCAGTCAACTCAGCTCCCACGATCTGAAGAGTCGAAAGTTCCGCATCTTCGACACCCGCATGCTCGCACATCGACTTGAACAGCAGAAACTTTTTGTCATGGACCAACTCTTCACGATCTGGGTCCATCGCGTTATGGATCTGCTGCTCAGCCTCTTCCAGCGAACGGCTCAACTGCTCATAGAAATCGAAAGCAGCTTGCCTACGTTTTCGGACTCCTTCAGGGCCTTCTGTCAGAAGGACGAACATTGCCCGCAATGCATCATCATCTAACATGGACGTGCCGTCAAAGGGGTGCTCTGCTTCCAAAGCTTCCTGCACAAACCTCTGCGGCGTTCGATACACGCCCAGCCTAGCCAACGGCAGCTGCACACCGCAGCGCTGCACACCGCAGCTGCTGGCATCCTGCACTGGGCAAAATAAACTGGAGTACCGAGGATCACCCACTTCACAAAACTCCAGTAGCTTAGCAGTTGTTTCAATGCTGAAATGTTGGCACTGCGACTGTGTGAGTTTCTGCGGCACGTTTCCAGGGCGTGCAAGATCCCAAAGAACCCAGATTTCGGACTCGAACTCCGATATAACTGGAGGTAATTTGTTGCCACGGGGTTGCTTGCCTGCTTGAGCCATCCGTCTTGATTGCTTTGCAGCTGAAGCATGCTCCGATCCTGTCGTCTTCACCTGCTGGGCTCCTAATTCCAAGGCATGCTGCTGAACTGCAACAGCAAAAGCTCGGCATAGTCGAGGTGGGAACTCAATATCAGAACCACTGCGCAGCTCACCCCACAGTGCATGCTTGTGCCCGCCCTGGCACGACCCGCGAAGAGCTGTCAAGGCCTGAAAATTGCACCGGATGGTATACCACCTGTTGCTGCGGCCACCCCAGATACATTGCTGAAAATCGACTGAATGCAGACCGTGTTTCTGCTGCAGATCTTTGAACCAACACGTTTTCCACAACAACGACTTGGTGGGATGTCCAACAGAGATAGCAATACTCCTGTCCGCACATGCGCTCAGAAATGTAGCAATCGTGCAAAAGATTTTGTTGGCAATGCCGACCCTCTTCTGATCGATTTCGGACAAGTCGTCCAAGCCCTCTGGCTTGAACTCTGAGCGCAGTGGCTTCAATTTCGGCGTGTGCGCGAGATGGGAACGAGAGGACTTTCTCTCGCGCATCCTGGTCACTGTACCAGATGGAGGCGTCGCATGAACAAAAATCAGTTCACCCGGTTTTCTCAGAAGCCCCCATAAGAATGCAGAAGCCTCATCACTAGCCAGGTCTAACTGAATGCAAGGATGACACTGTTTGCGGCGATTTCCCCCATGGTCCACTGCCAGTGCTTGAAACCCCATCCCACTCAAGCACGCCGAAAGTCTTGCCACGCCTGCCCCCAGCTCCAAAGTAAGCAAAGAAGAAAAGGGGGCGCCCCGAAAGGCACCATTATCAGGGAGAACATCCTTCACACTCGCACTCGACGGCGTGAGATTGGAAACAAGTTCAGCCGGAGGTTGCAATCAGCTCTTTGGGCAGTCACGTAAAGGGTGATTGCCATAGCATTTGATACACACGTTCCATCCTTTTCGGCATTTCTCGCCGGCTGCTGCATTGGAGCAGCCATCGAGGTTGTAATCAAAGCACACTGGTTCGCCATCAGGCTTTGTAGCTGAATAACCGATAAGGCGCTCAGGCATCCGAACAGGATCACGATTGAAACCACGCCCACGCCCTTGTCCTTTACGGCCCCCTTTTCCTGGGTTTCCTCGCCCTCGTTGTGCCTGCAGGTTCTTCACCTGACCCTGCAAGTTCTGAACCTGTCGCCTCAAACGCTCCTCCTCCGTTTTAGCTTTGGACGGCTCGGCTGGAGTTCGATGCTTACTCGAGGGAGCCTCCTCCAAACCAGCCTCATCTGCTTTACGTTTAGGGCCTCCCGGTGCTTGCAACGGTTGTAGGCATAGGCGAACTTCTGGCGCAGCCATGGCGGCCTGAAGAGCTCTTTCAAGTGGCAAGGTCCCATCCGCCAGCGGTTTGATGCCGAAGCGAGTCTCCTTCATCATGTACTTGAAAAGAGCCAAGTCAGCATTGTGCACCTGCTCAATCGTGACCTTTGCATAGTTCGCAGGGGGGACCTCCAAGAAAGCATCGATGAGGACCTGGGTCCAACGCTCCATTTTGTCATAGTCGATGAGTCGCGTTTGGTCGAAAGCCAGTGATCTGCGTTGCAATGCAAACTTCAATTTTAGATCAGTGCTAGTGTCTGCCTTCAGCTCGGCGGCTGTTTTGACCTCTTTGATGACACCGTTAGCGTCCGGCTTCCACATAGGGTCCGACTTGATGCCCATCAGCTCTTGATCACGTTTGGTACATTGATCCCATCGCAGATAGCGAAGCTGGTTGTCATCGTACATTTGTACGACTGCGTCAATCAACGAATGGCTGGCTTCCAGCTCCCCAACCAAGTTGAGGCCCCGGAGTCGCCGGACCTGGTCCTGGTGCCGCGATGCCCTCTCTGCCACAGCGAGCTTTCTCGGTGTGTCGTCATCTTTTCTGTCGATGCGGCTTTTAAGGTCCGCTGAGGCGAAGGTGTAGCTTTCAAACACGATCCTCCGTACCAAAGGCACCCGATTTGGTGGGGGCGGTGCGGTGTTAGTGATGATTGCGGCGAGTTCGATGAGCGGTTGGTCGTCGGTCTGACCCGGTGTGTAATTCTTTGCGAAGGCCAACCGCCCGAAAGTGTCCCAACCTTGCTGTTTGAATACAGCGATTTCGGCATCCGAGAAGCCGATTTCTCTCGCGCGGGCCTCAAACGTGGCCTGAGAGTCCAACATCAGAATGAGGAGGGTTGGAGACACTACTTGCACGACTACACAAACACCCTCAAACCCGGCTTGAAAGAGGAAACACAGCAACACGCAAGTCCTGCTCCAGACCTCAGCGTGACATTCGCAAGACTCCTGCACTCACCATGGGGCTTACAGGCAGCACACGCTGTCGTGGAGCAAACACAGAACAGTCATTTGTTACTCCATGTCTCCGCCATCCGAATTTCAAAAAGGAGACCAGGGAGTTCTTCACACATAACAACAAAGAGGGCATGGATGCTGCTACACACCGAAGCAGTCCTTGCAATGAGGCCATGCCTCGTCAGCTCTTCCTCTGAACACGGCCATTGCCGTTGTTAGAGGCCTTCCACAGGCGAGCTTTGCCCTCGACACGGCGTGGCCCATGTGAAGGGTACGCCTTTGCCTATGCCTGTACATAACTGACTGATCTGCATTGTTTGCCTTCTTCCTTGACTTCTCTACACAGAGAGCTGCAAACCCCTTTTCATGTGAGGATGCCGAAGACTCAGACGATTCAGAATCGCTATCAGATGAAGTGCAGCTCGGGCTTCGCACCTCCATGCCAACCTCCGGCAACATCGCCGGGCGGACCTCGGATGAGACACCCTCATCCGGCACATCACCGTGCACATCTGACTGATTTCCCTTCGCTGGGTGCATCTGTTCAGACTTGAGAAAACACTTGCCCGAGAGCACTTCAATGGCTTGTTTCCATGTCATGCCGATGTGTTTTTCGAACTGGGACTGCGCACAGATCTGGTTGTCAATCTCGGGGAACAGGTTGCCACGGGAGTTGTCTGGCATGAAAGATCCTTCAGATACGCACGAAATCATTTCCGTGAAGACTCTGATCGGCCGTGCCAAAGCATCCCGAGTGTAGTTGAGTACTGATTGCCGCCCCGGTAGAACATGATACCCCAGCAGCTGCGCTTCATCAAGATAGTGATCTTCGCCATACTTGTTGAACATGCTTAACATAGTTGCTTTAAGGCTGTGGCTGGAATAGTCTTGCACTTCGTTGAATGGCAACAACTTGGACAAAAGTTCGCGTAACCGCTGCGAGACATCTGCAGCACTAATTGCAGACTGCTTCCCGGAACCCACGGTTGCCTCGCTCGGGAAGAACACGAACTTCTCCCTCTCGGTGATGCGAGTCCTTCTGTCCCGCTCAGTGGGGAGCGGATTGAGTCCTAGCTGAGATCGTGCTGATGCAAATGATTCCAGCCAGCTGAAGCCGAGGAGGCCAATGGCTGGCACAACAACTGGCAGAAAAGAGACTTGTTTCTCCTTAGTACGGGCCGTCTTAACCTTCATGAGACTGCCTTCAAGGAACTTGCCTTCAATTGCGCCACATTCCAACCTGTTCCCGTCAGAACATCGCATTCTACCAAAAAGGAGCATCAGGGCAAACCCTGCGAAGGCCCGAGTGTACAGGTCGGACTCATACTCCGCAGCCAACTCCAAGATACAGATCATCGGGATTGTAAGTGCCGGAGCTCGTTTGAGCGGAGATTTACTGACATACATCAAATGAGCAACGCCTAGGGCCCTCTGAGAGAAAGCCGCAGCCTCTGCATCGCTCATACCCATGAAACCAGACAAGAATGCAAGAGATCCCATGAAAGTTGACCCCCGCGTGGCGGGAGCACCTACCTTTCGCAAGTGGCACAAATATTTGTAGACACTTTCCTCTGTTGGAGGCAGAGCCACCTGGTGAGGAAACTCGCTGTTGAACCACCTACAAAACAAACACAAAGAGTTTACCCGCGTCCTCAATGTAGACGTGGATTTGCGTGCAAAGTGATCCTGTAAGATTTGCCAAGCTTGATTTTCATCTTCATGCTTGCTGGTCTCGTCGATCAACTGACGGCCAGCTGCCGTTGCCCCCGGATTGATCAGGAGCAGCTCACTCCATTTGCGTAGCGCAAGACTGCGATCAGTCGCTGCGCAACTTGATGCTGCTCGGTCGATGTAAATGCGCACTTTAGCCTGCTTCGACTGCAGGGTCATCGGCTCACTCTGTGTTTCCAAGTATGGCAGATTGGATGGAACAGCAAGATGCTCCAGCCATGGCGTCACACTAGTTCCTAAGACATTTTGAACGAAGGGCGATTGTTCCCATGGGAACGTCGGAAGCCCCACGGGTCTTCCCGCCATTCGAGCGATCTCGAGGAATCGCTGCACATCGAGGTTCGGTGGGTCCTCCACTTTCCCCCCTGAATCACCCCCGTTCATCACTTTGACCAGACACCCTGGTCTTTCCCACCCTCCCATCCCCTTGATCGACCAATCATCCAGATGTAAGCAATGATGCTCATTGCATCATGACACTCATGTTACAAACAAGGCGCCACGAGGAATCGTGTTGCAACTTGTCTAGCTCAGTAATGTCACACCAGTCATCGATCGCATCTTCATAGGCAAACCAACTGCTTCTGCCATCATAAGATGGAGGTACTTTGGTGGTCACCTGCTGGAAAGCTGAAAGACGGTGTAATTCATTGAGATGACGATGATTAGTCGCGAAAGATTCATTTCCGTGGAGGAGGTAGTCATCATCTCCTCCTTCATGCTCAAAGATAGTCGCAGAGTGGCTAGCCATTGCGCTGTTCTTGGATCGAGCCCCGGGAGAAACCTCTTCCGGTTATCTTCACCTGAGTGAAGTGTGCCGGAGAGACTCCGGTCACCTTCACCTGAGTGAAGCACACCGGGTATTCCGGTTGCCTCCACCTGTGTAGAGAGTACCGAACGGGTACCTCCACAAGTGTGAAGCTTCCCGTTTCCCGGGAGCTCCGCTACCACGTTGAGATGTAACCTGGACGTGTATCCCCTCGCTAGGCGTACAGGAACACAGGCACTCAGGTGTCTCTTTTGCTACAGGCGCACAGCTGTAGTCCACTGCACTAGAACCTTGAGCAACAGGCATGGATACATGCAAGTGATACGTGAAACAGACAGGCACCTGGATGTGTAACATTCAGTGTTTCACCCCGCCCCCTCCCCCCCCTCCCCCCCCTCCCCCCCTTCCCTCCCGCCCCTCCGCGAGCTTTCTGGAGTTTTCGACGACACGGGACTGCAATGTAGCATCTTTATGTGTTGGGGCTCGCCTTTATAAGGCTGCACCACCGGCTCCGGTGGCGCCCAGCGGCCATGCATGGCTGCCGTCTCTATTTCTTGCAAGGCCTTTATGACTTCAATATACTTTAACTCTATCAAAAAGACCCCAGCAGGGTCTTAATCATTGTTTGGGCCCCTATGTTGGTATCGAATTGATGGCTTTGCGTCTCAGGCTTGTTTGAGACGCCCTTTCGTTGGGATAGGCGGAGTAACGTGGTTGAAAAGGCTGTGATGCTTCCCTAATCCAAGACTCCCACGAAATCCACAGCCTCAACGGCCCATACTTAAAGCATCCCGCCGCTTGCGAGAGTCTTGGTATCCAGTGTTTCGGAATGACGACACCAAAATTCGTACTGATACTACCACTACTAATACTACTCACAATCATCCTGCTTCGTGTTGCTATGAACATTACTTTTACTATAAGTGCGATTCCAACTGTCACTTTTTTTCCTACAAGAGCTTGCTGCAGATAGTACTAGTAGCAACACTCGCCGCATGCGCGTACAGCCGGGCCGAGGCGGACGACGCGCAGCGTTTCAAATTAAACTACTGAGTCAAGGTCCGGTGTAAGTCCCACCCCCGCAATCCTGCATCTAGACTACGCCCGAACCTCCGGGCATGAAATTCCCAAGTGCAAGTGCTCGCAGAGCTTGGCACCTGTTGGTATCATGAAGAGCGTCGCTGGGATGAAGCAAAGAACAAAGGCCGCGCAGCCCAGCAAGCCCCACTGGCAAGCAAAGTGAGGTTTGGAAAAGGTTTGTGTTGGTTTCTCGTTCTTCTGGGCGGGGAGCTTGAAAGCTTTGCATCCCGGGTTGTGCCGATTCGTGGCTGCTTGCCTCGTGCAGAATACCATTTTACAAGAGGATCCCGGGTTGATCTTGGTCAGGCTCACGTGGGGGTTGCGAGGCTAGGTGCACCACAGTGGGCGCAAACCAGCACAGCATGCGAAAGCACGTCAAGCATAGTACAAGGTGCCCCTAAAAACCATTGCACTAACTGTCCCCTCAGCCTAGCGACTACAGACTTACGTGCGTTCTTCTTGCTCTCTCCACCTGTCGCCAAATAACATCAACCTGAGTTGTAAAGATATGTTGGGTTGACGAAGGGCAGGATGCAACAAAAGCTTGACGAAGTGGGGAAGACTCGCTTTATCTGGAAGGGTGGCACCGCACAGCAGATTACAGAGTGCCTTGTTGCGAGGGCTTTGTTCAGCTGCAGTGGGAGAAGGTGACGGAGCAATGCCATCTCTTTCTTTCACAAGGCTTGAGGGCACGCCCCCGCCCGGAGGGCTGCCCCTTGTAATCTCTCTCGCTCTCTCTCTTTCTCCCTCTCTCTCCCCCTCGCTCTCGTCGTGTGAACGAAAGGCTTCCGAATCCGGCTTGCACCACGGCTTACACAGACCTGCTCACTGGACTCTGCCGCTGCAGCCAGGCGAAGCAGCAGGGTCCTCCGACTCACGGCACAGGTGGTGTCTGAGCTAGCGTGTGCAGGAGGAAATAGGAAAGTGTCAAGCGATCTCTCGTATTTCCATTTCCCGAAATTTCGAGTCACGGAGCCTGTGCCGGGTCTTCACTTCTTTGTCACCTTTTCGTGACCTTTTTGTTTCAACTGGTTCTAGCTTTATTTAACATTTGTTTACCTTGAGCTATTTAACAGCTGCACCTTGATTTTGCAATTCGTTTGCTTGATTCTTGCCCATTTAAAGTGACATCTACCCTTGCCTCTATTTGGACTTTCTACGACTAAGATGAGCATGATGACCTTCCTGCCTGTATGCATGACAGTAGCTGTCGCCGCCATCGCCCTGGAAGCAGAAGCAGAAGACGTATATAGATGAAAAGGAAATAAACTTAAACGCGAAGTTGAAATGATGCAAGAAGAAGTATCAGTAGTCGTCGTAGCAGTCGCAGAAGATGCTTGGCCCAGAAGGGCGGTGTCGGTGCATCCTCCATTAATTACGCTTTTTGCTTATTGGATTGTCTGGGACAATGCGGCTTCCGTAGCCACGCGAAGCCTGCCGACTGGGGACTGTGGATGATCTGTGGATGTTCGCCGGGGAAGGAAGAAGCAGCAGTAACAGCATTCGTATGAGAACTAGTGGTGGTATGCTAGTTAGCACAAGTACTCGAATCGCTAGTAATTAATAGTAATAATAGTAACCGCCATAGCAGCAGTCGAGGTGGAAGCAGCCTGTCAAATTACAGAATATTGGGCAGGCCGGCTGTACACCATTGGCAGAATTGAGCAGCCTTGTGCGAACAGATGCTTACTTAAACATGCTTCAGGAAAGAAATTTTGCTTGGCACATGGCCGTCAGTCCTTCGATCGGAAAGGAGGACGACTGCACCTCTAACGGGAAGTATTCTGGGTTCTGGCCCTACATGTTCACAGGGTGAAACGGCCGGCAATCCAAGCGTCTACGCCCATTCCGTTGCTCCGACCATGCTGGTGCCTTGATTTGGTGCCGCCCAACAAAGGCGGATGGACACGGCTGTTCTTCTATTGTCAGACGGATCGCGCGCGTACACGTTTGCTCTGGCGCACAGAAAGTCCAGGACCGATAATCCCACGGCCGCACCTATGGCGCAGGGAGCGGCAACAGCCGCCACACGCCGGAGCATGCTGCAGAGATCTCCAGCTGACAGCTCACATCGTGCAGCAGCTTGAGCGAAGCTTTTGGGGCACCCGTCTCGATTGCATCTGCCTGTTGCGAGGCTACACTGTAACTACACCCTGCTTCGTCTTCTTCCTACCTTCAGGGCATCAGTTTTCCTTGTGTTCGAGATCGTGGAAGCTGACGGTCTCCGAGGAGGTGTTGAGTCAGCGACAAACCGATATGATGACTAACGTATCCGTGCCCTTAGCAGTCGAGTGGCCATCCTCTGCGAAACCAACTGTTGCATGATACACTTTCCCTCATCCAGTCGTGGAGCTTTAGGCACGAAATGGGAAGCATCAGCCAAAAGCACACCAAAAGACCTTGCCACTGCCAAGATCTTCTAGGGCAAGTGGAGTGTAGCTTCATGGAAAAGGCTTGGGGCGCAGTCGGCCTTTGAACCCTCGCAAGGAAGCTCGTGGTTCGATGCTGCACAAGGGGTTAGCCACTTCAGGGCCCCAGGCAGGATCTCTAAACTAAGTAAGCACGAGGCAGCTAAGCACGTCATCTATGTGACGCGACAGATGTCAGGTGGGACACCACTAAATCTGAATCCGACTCTTGGCGATTCAGGGGCTCGAGCTTCGAAGATGCTTGTATTGCTAAAGGAAGTGTTGCCTGGACACTGCAGTAGTGTTCCACTCGCACGTGAGCATCCCCTGACTCGGTGCTATGAACAAGGGCACGCACGTTGAAAAGCTATGTCCGGGAGGCCCTGATGTGCTGGCACAGGCTGCGTGCACATGCCAGGCCAGCCCGCGAAAAAGCATGCCGTGTGCCATTGTGGACATTACCAGACCCGTACAAGCCTGAACTGCAAGTCTTCACCGTGTCGACTTAGCTTCCTCACACGTGATGCCGTTCAGTCTTGAGTATAGCCGGACAAGCCGGGAACAGGTCGAAAATCAGTGGGCTGGATGCTAATCCGCAATTTCAACCAGAAAGCAGTCAAGATCATTTGGTCCTGCAGACAAACATCAGCACATGCAGCCGTAACAAGATTGCTCACATGCAAGGGTGCGCCTTTGCAAGCTTCAGGAGACCTCACACACGTTCAGGGGGCGGAACCGAGCTCTCAACCAACTGTCCTCTGTGGAGGCACTTCTCTGAACCCAGTAGGAATACACGAAGAGAAGCTCCAGTGCTACTCCAAATCGCAGCAATCGGTCAGACTGGAGATGACTGCAGTTTGGGGTCTGTAGAAGAAGGTTCGGAGTTGGCGGCGCGAAGGTACGATTTCAAGGCGAACAACTACTCCCCGAGGTCACGCCATGTGCGCATAGCTTCTGTGCAGTGAGATGTTTTTCAACGAAGTTTTTCAAGCAAATGGACGGATGGCAAAAGCTCAACGGATCTATAGACGTGCCTACAGCTTGCCACTTTGCTGGTACCTCTTTTCAATTCTCAGCTGCTCGATGTCTGCACTCAGCTCATCTTCCAACTTCTGCAGCGACTAAGCGCTGCATGACTGGCAGGCTGGTGACGGGGACTGTGGAGCCACACATGTGTAGCCGGCGATCTATGCGCCTGTGCCCGGCTCCACATCATCTGCTACTTCATCCGCCACCTCCTCGGTGAATGCTGTCTCTGTGCTCACAAGACTTTTTGGAGGGTTCTTGGGTGGGGTGTGAAAATAGACTCCGTCGAGGCTCCAGTTCTCTGGCTGCACGCATCAGCAGCCCAGAGCCAGAGCCGGAAACATGTCTGTTCGCTTTGACCTTGGGCTCCGGATTCCCTCAGCAGACGTCTCAACTAAAGCCACCAGATCAGACGTGAAGCATGAAAGCTGGAAGCTAGGTACAGAATGAGAGCAGGAACATGGAGTCAACGCTCCTGTGTCCAAGGCACGTGGGCGAGGACCGATGCGCGTGTGAGGGGTATGGCCTCCTCGGGATTGAGCCTTTGGCTGTGGCGATTGGACCCTCAACATTGAATTTCAAAGTATGAGGCAGGCCACTATGCAAAGAACAGAGACACGTCGAGACTTCGGGGTTTTCTGCCAGCGATCAGCCGCGATAATAAAGGTGGTGATGCATGACGTGTGACGGACTCGTCAGTCAGATTGTCAACCGTATCACGACCTCTTGAGAAATCAAGATATTGATACCGTTCGTTTCCATGGGCACCGCACGCGCACACATGTCTCACTCAACCTCGCTGGTTGTCGGAACTGGTTGGATCCGAAACACCCTAACCCACTCAACCCGCAGCTGACAGCTGCTAGCCCACCCCTGCCGCCGAGGAGCAGCTCTACTCCATTCAGCTGTGGGAGGGATATCGGGGCCTCGGCACCCTTGCCGAGGAAGACTGCCAAGGCCCAAGCAGCCAACACCTCTTGGGATCTGTGTTCATGCTGGTCGTTTTCTTGAATCGCTGTCACGCGTTATTTGTTCTCCTGGTCCTTGGTCTTGCTAGCTGCTAGCAGCTGCTATCAGTCTCATTCCTCGCATTGCGTTGTTGTAGTTGTTGTGGCTGTTGCCACTGTTTACGGGTTTGTCGGGTTGTGCGGGCAGCGACTCACCGGCTCTGCGCGGATTTTCCTGTAAAGGCTGGTCGGGTTGGAAGGCCGATGCACTTCAGCCAGGGGCGCAAGTCTGGCTCTGGCAGAGAGCTGTACCGAGCGCAAACTGCACGGCTAATTGCTTCACTGTTGCTCTCTGAATATTGGAAAAGAAACTCCGTAAACTCGGCTTAACTTAGTCTTAGTCTCACCTGCTGCCAGAGGAGGGCACGGAGCGGAGTCAAACACTTCTGTTGCATCTGTCGTAGCTGCTGCTCCTGCTCCTGTTGCTGTTGGTTCTGTTGGTTTTCTGTTGTTGTTGGCTGTTGTTGCTGTTGTCGTTGTGGTTGTGGTTGCTGTTGCTGTTGTTATTGCTTGCTGTTGTTGTGGTGGTTGTTGTTGTTGTTGTTGGTGGTAGTGGTGGTTTGTTGGTGTTGCTAGTGGTGTTGGTGATGTTGTTGCTGCTGATGCTGCTGCTGCTGGTGGTTCTTTTAAGGTTGCTGTCGCCGTAGCTGTGGCTGTGGCTGCTACTGTTGCGGTTGTTGCGGTGGTTGTGGTTGTTGTTGTTGGTAGCGGCTGTGTAACGGATCCCATGCTTTTTCGCCTTGTCAGGCCACGAAAACCTTGGCCCTGCCGACAAAGTCGGCCTCGGAGCGGTGGGGGGGGAGGGGGGGGGTTATAGGGCCGTTTTTAGAAAACGCGATTGTCCGCTGCATCCAACCATGTCCAGATCAGACCATATCCATTGCCGCAGAGCATCCATGGGCCAACCATGATCACGTCCAGATCAGACCATATCCGTTGCCGCAGAGCATCCATGGGCCAACCATGATCACGTCCAGATCAGACCATATCCATTGCCGCAGAGCATCCATGGGCCAACCATGATCACGTCCAGATCAGACCATATCCGTTGCCGCAGAGCATCCATGGGCCAACCATGATCACGTCCAGATGAGACCATATCCATTGCCGCAGAGCATCCATGGGCCAACCATGATCACGTCCAGATCAGACCATATCCGTTCACGCACAGCATCCATGGGCCAACCATGTTAACGTCCAGATCAGACCATATCCATTGCCGCAGAGCATTCATGGGCCAACCATGATCACGTCCACATCAGACCATATCCATTGCCGCAGAGCATCCATGGGCCAACCATGATCACGTCCAGATCAGACCATATCCGTTGCCGCAGAGCATCCATGGGCCAACCATGATCACGTCCAGATCAGACCATATCCATTGCCGCAGAGCATCCATGGGCCAACCATGATCACGTCCAGATGAGACCATATCCATTGCCGCAGAGCATCCATGGGCCAACCATGTTAACGTCCAGATCAGACCATATCCGTTGCCGCAGAGCATCCATGGGCCAACCATGATCACATCCAGATCAGACCATATCCGTTGCCGCAGAGCATCCATGGGCCAACCATGATCACGTCCAGATCAGACCATATCCGTTCACGCACAGCATCCATGGGCCAACCATGATCACGCCCAGATCAGACTATATCCATTGCCACAGAGCATCCATGGGGCAACCATGATCACGTCCAGATCAGACCATATCCATTGCCGCAGAGCATCCGTGGGCCAACCATGATCACGTCCAGATCAGACCATATCCATTGCCGCAGGGCGTCCATGGGCCAACCAAGATCACGCCCAGATCAGACCATATCCATTGCCGCAGAGCATCCAAGGGCCAACAATGATAACGTCCAGATCAGACCATATCCATTGCCGCAGAGCATCCATGGGCCAACCATGATCACGTCCAGATCAGACCATATCCGTTCACGCACAGCATCCATGGGCCAACCATATGTTAACGTCCAGACCAGACCATATCCATTGCCGCAGAGCATCCATGGGCCAACCATGATCACGTCCAGATCAGACCATATCCATTGCCGCAGGGCGTCCATGGGCCAACCAAGATCATGCCCAGATCAGACCATGTCCATTGCCGCAGAGCATCCATGGGGCAACCATGATCACGACCAGATCAGACCATACCCATTGCCGCAGAGCATCCATGGGCCAACCATGATCACGTCCAGGTCAGACCATATCCATTGCCGCAGAGCATCCATGGGCCAACCATGATCGTGCCCAGATCAGACCATATCCATTGCCGCAGAGCATCCATGGGCCAACCATGATCACGTCCAGATCAGACCATATCCATTGCCGCAAAGCATCCATGGGCCAACCATGATCACGTCCAGATCAGACCATATCCATTGCCGCAGAGCATCCATGGGCCAACCATGATCACGTCCAGATCAGACCATTGCTCTGCTGTGGATGCTGTTGTTGCCCGTACATGTTTTGTTGCTGCTAAAGTGATCGGATCCCATGTTTTGCAGTTTCCGTGTTGTTCGCTTTTTGGCCATAAGACAAGTACATGCAATCCTGTGATGCGCAAAAACCCAAGCGAAAACGCATCTTGCTAGTCATGTAGAACGCTGCCAATGTGCTAAAAGCGCACAGCACCAAATTATCCTCATTTTTCAAGAGCCATTTTCGCTGCTGTCAAAACAGTTTATTGCACGCAGGCGTGTCCAAAACCCAAGCGAAACCCTATTTCTGAAGAAAAAAATGAAAAAACCGAAAGTCGCGTTTTCAAAACATTACCCTATTACCCCCCCCTCCCCCCCACCCCGCCAAGTCCAACTTTGCCGGTGGGAGCGGCGTTTTCGCTGTCTAAAACCACAAAAACCCTGGGATCCGTTACGCTGTCGTGACCTTGTTGTTGGCAGCACGTGCGTCTGCCGCCGCGCGGGGTGGTGCGATTTCTTTGCTGGCATGTGCTGAAACTAGAGTTTTGGCACTTTGCCCACCCGGAATTGAACTTGCGTTGTGTGTTCGCATCTTTTTTTTGCGGTGTTTTGTTGCCAAAAATGCAACGGAAGGCGAGCTACACTGCACAAAAAAATGCTAAGCTCTCCATTTCGCAACGGTTTTGTTTCGGTGTTTTCCTAGGTGTGTTGCATTTCGCGTCGGTTTACGGTGCTTTTGCCGAGTCTCGACATTTTGCACATGCCACCTTAGACTTGCATTTGTCTTTCAGCTCTGTGCGGACGTGGGGATGGGGGGATGGGTGATGATGTCCATGCGCATGCGGCTTGTGTCTTCTGTTTGTTTTGTTGCTTCCTATGTGTGTCGCATTTCGCATCGGTTTTTGCGGTGTTTTTGCTGACTCTCGACTTTTTGCACATGCCAGCTTAGACTTGCATTTGGCTTTCAGCCCTGTGCGGGGGGTGGGGGGGATGGGGGAGGGGGGTGGTGATGACGTCCATGCGAACGCGGCTTGTGTCTGCTGCTTCTTTTGTTGCGTAACTTCTCAAACGCTGCCGCTTGCTCTGTGAAGCCCTTGTTGCCGCTTCTTCTTGCTTCACTTTTGAAACGTCAACCATGCAAAAACATCGAGTTTTGAGGCTTTCCAGATAAAAGCTTCTCAACGAACCTCAGAAATCAAACATAAAAAACGAAAACCATGGTATTTGCGATAATTTCGGAAAAATAACACCAAAAAAGCAAGACAAAAAACTATGGACAACACATCTGAAACATCATCTTGTTGGCGAAACCACACAAAACTCAGGGCTTCCAGCAAATGACCAAAACACCTACCAAAAATAAACGAACCCTGCGCGGCGGCAAACGCACGTGCTACCTTGTTGTTGTTCTTGTTGTTCTTGTTGTGGTTGTTGGCCTTTGGCTGTGGTTTATCGTTTGCCGTCTGTTGCGTGTTTGCGTGTTGCGTGCTGCTTGCGTTTCGTGGTTGTCGCTGTTCTTCCCATGAGCATTGTTCTTCTTGTTGCTCGTGTACTTATGGGTCTTGCCCTCGTAATTTCTCTGACCCATGCACTGATCAGTCTCCTGTTGATGCCCAAGGCACTAAGAAGCGGTGCTGCACAAAGATGCAGTCGAAGAGTCCAATGACTCGGCTTGCGCTTGCCATTGGAATTGTTCGCTATCACGGCCGGAGGAACTCCGACCTTCTCGTGGAGGGGTTTAGGTATCGGAGAGGTGCCCGATTGGTGCTTGAGCCGTATTCGGCACGGATTGCGAGGATTCCCGGCTTGCAACCAGCACCTGAAGAGACTTGGAAGCGTCATCGGCCATGATAATGGTATCTGCTCTGAGTCTCTCACGAAAAACACATGTGGGCGGACACCCCTATCGCTTCTCACCAGTGCACTGCGGCTCACGTGCATCCGGCCTTTCCAGTGCCGGCAAGGCAGCAGCTCCCCGACATACAGTAATGCATGTGTAGCGGTCGGATGGCCTGCTGCATTTTGTCAAACGGCCCTTTGTCGCCTTTTCAAGGAGCTTAAGGGCTGACTGTTCCCTATGAAAACGAAGAAAGATTTCCAGCTTCTGCAGAAGTGTGTGGAGGATGGTAATGGCACGACCCTTGGTGAAACATCTGCAAGTTTAAAATAGAACAATCATGCAAAGGTACTGTGTCCTCAGCTACCAGATGCTATGCAAAACATCCCAGACTTCTTACTGACAAAGCTCTTGCGAAAGCTGAGGACATGTTTGATAAGTGATTGAGAATTGCCACCGTGGCTCAAGGGAACGCTGTCAGATTTAGATCTCGGCGTTGTGCGATCAACCTAGGCTCGAGGAATGTCTCTCAGTCAGACGGACGCGGCTAAAGGCATCTTCCGACAAAAAGGCCAGCTGTATGGTGGTGTGGTTGCAGCTGTGGCTGCTGTGGTCGTTGTGACTGTTGTGGTTGTTGTTGGTGGTCGGTGGTGGGTAGGCGGTGGTGGGCAGGCGTCTTTGAGCACTGGATATAGCACCCCGAGTGCGACTATGTTTCTTCTACCAGTGCAGAGACAAACACCGGGGAACAACACCAGAACAACAACCCCCCGTCAAAGCAACATAGGGGGCACCAGGTTTTGTCTCCTGTCCTGCAGAAGAGACACAACGGGAGTGAGGGGAACAACACCCCCCCCACGCAAAACAGCCTGCTGGCCTCGAGGAGTTGCCTCTTCCTAGAAAAAACAGAAGCAAGAAGTAGTAGTAGTAGTAGTAGTAGTAGTAGTAGTAGTTGTTGTTGTTGTTGTTGTTGTTCTTGTTCTTGTTCTTGTTCTTGTGGTTGGTACAGACAAAAAAGGCAACCCGTAACTTACGTTGATCAGAAACAGTTGGGAATGCTTCCGGCGACCGCATAGGGTGCCTGTAGAGTTTTTGGGGAATGCAGGCCATGGTTTACACAGCATCTGCCCCATGATAGAAATCCGGTGTAGGCTGGGAGCGGGTCAAAACAACAAACGGGGCTTTAGTTTTTGTCTCTCGTAGCGGCAGGTAGACACAAAGGCCCAGTTGAAATCAGGACTTTGTCTCTACCTGATGGTAGGGATAAAAACTGGAGCCCCGTCTGTTGTTTTGACCCCGCGCTGCCACAACCGCCCACATTACACCACGTTTACACCCCATGTAAGAAATCTGCGAAATGCAAAGGTTTTTCATGGGTTTTGGAAGGGATTCGTGTAATGGTAATGTCGTCATGGGACTCCGCAGGGTTCATGGGTTTCAGAGTTTAGTGGGGTTTCCGACGACGTTCTTAGATATCGAAGTGTTCAAGAAGGATTGGCCGGCGCAATGGTATTCGCTGTCGTGGGGCACCCGCAGCAGCAGCAGTTTCAGCGTCAGTTTCATTGCGGTCATCGCTGTTGTCATCACAAAGTGTTTCTGAACATTCCCGGCCTTCACTGTTCACCCCGCGTCATCCGTCATGATTTCTTTCACGATGGGCAAGCTACGCATGCTGTAATTGTGCCATGGGGCCCGGGCCCGTTGCCTCTCGGGTCACACAGCGGCACGAAACATGCTGCCTGCGGGGCATCGTATAGCCGCAAAATAAGAAGATGACCTGTGCCACCAGGCCGGTCATGATCGCCAGGGAGATAATCAGTTGAACTCTTGAGTAGTTCCTAGGCTGTGTTGAAAATCTACAACACCAAGTCACGAACACAACGGAATTCAACCCATCAGGAATAGTTCTAACCCTTAGAGAACCTCTACAGGCCCCCTCAAAAAAACCCGAGGCACTGGACGAGAGACACGATCGAGCCCCAGGTCAAGCTGACGCAAAAGTAGCAGTATTCGAAGGCCAGCGGGCACCAAATGCCAGCCAGCACACATTGCAACGGATAGCTACCGCTTCCGCATGAGACAACGAACTTCACCATCCTGAGAAGGACGGGGAAGATCAAGACGTAGCAAGTGACGAGGGAAAGTGCCCAAGCCACCACTTGGACCTCCATGTACTGAAACACTGAGCTGTAGCCTGAAACCCGAGCAGATTCTTCGCATGATCCATTGTCACACCCGAGAATATTCACAGAAGAATAAAGGATCATGGGGAGGATCGCAGTCATGCAGGTGTGCCAAGGCACCTCCAGCTCGTTTCCGATTTGCGCAATGACAGCCTCGCGCAGAGTTCCCCTCACATAAGTGTTGAAGCCGTCAAGTGGATCCCAAGGTGCCAGAAATCTCTGAAGATGGACCTGCGCAACAAAGGTTCGAGGGAACGCCGTCAACACAAGATTGCCTAGGATGAGCTAGATGCAGGAACCTCGGATCTCCGTTCCCCCTCTTTTCTGATGTACTGGCATGTGGGACCCTTGCATCAGATTGGAAACTCGGATTCAGGTGGAGATAGCAGTCTCTGTTGCCTCTGTGGCCGACCTACGTCTAAGATTCCCCAGCCCGCCATTCGCAATGCCGGCCTCCCCCTCATCAAGAAGCTGGTGTCGGCTTCCCGAATCACTTCTGAATAGCTGCTGCACCTGTTGCTCGACCGCGCTCCGGTCGGCCGGCACAGTGCAGCTCGCAGCACGTACGTCGAAGCTGGCCATCTGACTCAGCATCAACTGGTGACTGTGTAGCTTCAGGCGGAATGCGAAGAAGCTTGGGATCGACACAGGGAGCGCAATGATGCTGGAAGTCATCCCGATAACCCACATAGCAGCGAACTTCTGTAGGGCCTGGTTGTCCCCGAAGTGTGACTCCAACACACTGAGGATGCCAGGTAACCACTGGGCGCTCCAACTCGGGAACGCATGCTCCAGCAGCTCAAGAAAGGTCACGCTGAGGAGGTGCGAAAGGATCGAAGCGAGCAGCCACGGGGCCAGCCACAGCGGAACCACATCCACCTTTTCCGCACCTCCGTAGCATGCGAAGGTGGCAAGCTCTAAGTGGCACCAAAGCCTGTCGAAGTAGGTATCCTGTTGTTGTTGTAGACGAAAAACGACGTTGTGTTTTTTTGAGAACATTTCAGAAGTTGACAATTTTAGGTATCGCCGGCGCTAGAATACCAAGAAGACAAACGTTAACAGGTTTCGTCTCTCTCTTTTGGGATTCGAAGCACTAACCCGAAACCTACAGTATGATTGACCCTGGCAAGCGAGCGTCATCCCAAAGAAGCAGCATTCGAGAGGAGCGTGCAACGAAAACGGGAAGGGATACGATCTGTTGCTGCTTCCTCTCAAGGTCTGTCTGGTGAATACAGAACCTATCCAGCCACACTGTGGGGGACCAAAGTCCAGCAGAGATTTGCTGTCCCCAGAAGAACATGATGAAGAAAGTGGCCATAGGTAAGCACACAAGGCAAGGAAAGTTGAAGTAACTGCCGCCCAGTGATGTCCAGCCAGTGGAAGCAATCAAGGCCACGGCCGCGGCGCACCACATGGCAAAAGAGCACTTGATCGCTAGTGTCAGGTTGAAGAACCTCAGATTGCAATGCGCAGAGACCCTGCGCACTTACAATGCTCGCAGGTGAGAGGATACCGTACGGGTGCCGGGTGGCATGCAGAGTGCCAGAAACTTGCTCCACCTCTCTGCTTTCCAGGAGTGGCTGATGAAAAAGTCCACGTGGCCTGCCTCTCTAGACTTCTGGAACAGCGAGTCGCCTGCCATTTGGACCTCCTCTCTCGTAGGAAAGCGGCGTGCAGGACTTCCGCTTGCCGCGAAAAGGCTGAATAGGGTGTCATCGAAAATACTTCCGTGACCTGGCCGCAAGCCCGAAGGATCGAGAGCTGTCTTAACCCGGCATGCCAGGCTAACAACGGCTCCCTCTCTAGGCATTAGCATGGAGCTCTCTATGATTGCCAAGGAGCCCGACAGCAATTGCTGCGCGCTGATGCTGCGATAATTTCCCGACTCAAGGACTTCATCGAATGCATCTGGGCTCTGCAGGCGGATGAAGCCAGCACCCCCAAGCGGCATCTCAAGGTGGAGTGTGGTCTGGGAGGGTCTACGGGACGATAGACAGCCACTGAGTGGCCTAGTGACCTCTGTGGAGCTTTCAAGATCTGGGAGCGGGCCTGGTCGCATAGATAGCCCTTTTACCGAGCCAAAAATAAACAAAGCGGGCAGGCCACCAGGTGCGCACCGAGCCTTCATGCACCAGCAATCTTAGCAATTGCTCAAGCGGTGTCCTTTCGAGGAACTGGTCATCTTTGCCGGCGAGCTCCTCCTGGCAGGCGGAAAGATGCGGCGATCTAGGTTTGAGTTGCACTGCAACCCAGAGATGCAGCAGACAAACGTAACTTGCTTGCCAACTTTAACCTCTGCAGCCGCCTGACCGAAGCGAAGGTAGCATGGATCAACACAAACGAATGCTCCTAGGCGCGCACTAACGCACACTACCCATATGTACATTGTCATACATACTTAATTACATACATATGCACACACACACAAACACAAACACATGGTGCATGTGAAGAGCAGCTGCATCCCAGCAATGCAAAACAGCGATTTTCCGCTCGGCGAGCTCATCTTAGCTTTCCCTCGAAGTAGGGCGTCAGGAAGTCATACGGGTGGAGCCAGCGATTGACAACCCACCTCAGAATCATACAGAAGTGACTCATGCCTCTCCGTGTGCTCAATGCTTCAAACCTGGAAGCGCTGCGGTGGGCCCGGTTAAAGCATGCTGAGAGTTTCTCCACAGCTTCTGCAGGCAGGGGTGCCTCGAAGTAAGAAGCATGCCTAAGGCCACGGCTTTTCACCCTCTACCACTGGAAGGGACTGGTGCCAGGCGTCCTCGTCCTTTGTGCCGCCTTGAACACATCTAAAAGGACTTTCGAGCTAGAAACAACGTTGTGCCCTGCATGCCTTCACAACCTATGTGGACCTAGCTGAATGGGGGCTGATGGGATGACATTCACAAACAGCTCCAATCGATTTCGCATCTTCATCCGACAGTGCAAACAAAAAGTCCCCACAGCCAGCACATGCATCGGACACTGACCCAACGCAAACGGCCTTTCACTAAACTAGGAGAAACGACTCACGAACTGACTCTGGCTCGAGAGAAGACCGAGACGGACATCTGCAGACGAAGCATCCGAAAATGCCATGCTGGAGGGCTGTGTAATTGACGTTCCACCAAAGAAGAGCCAAGCCTTTCCTGAATGACAAACACACACATGCACAAGCACACAAGCAGTGCGGCTGTTCCTGCCTTTCGTTGCAGTTGTCGTGGACGCCTATCTGCTGCATTTCTTGGAAACATGTCGGTATCTTTGTGTGGCCGACTGCCAGGCCAGAAAGCCGGCTTCTGCAGGATGCCCATCCTGTGAGAACCCTGTGAACCACAGAGCTCAAGTAAAAACCAACCTGCGGAGGTGTGGCCGTGCCCGTGCACCAAGCGTCCGAGGCGTGATTGTCAAGTCCCACTTGGAAAAGTGGGTCTCACCTCCTGCAAAGGAGAATCATGCAGCCTGCAGCTCTCGTACATCTGCGGCGTTTGGCGAGTGGTTTGAAGGACAGGATCTGAGCCGAAGCCATGTTGCTGCCTCTCGAATCTGATCATTTGCGATTGAAATCAGCAACTTGCCCCATCTCCTTCAGGTACATCGTTCAGATACATGAAGAAGGTTCCAACTCGCCCACCTTACAGGTCCATGAAACATCAAGTGACCCATGTTCCATTCCTGGGGTCTGAAAGACAGCGTCAGGCAGAAACCCTGTCGTTTTTTGCGAGCTGCACCTCTCAAACCACATGTGCATATGACAGAAGAAAGACTTTGCAAAGAAACGGCCGTATGATGATGTGGTGTGCCACGTCTCTGCCTACACTTCTGACAAGTCGCCACACACCTGCTCCTCTTGTGCGTCCAAGTAGTCCTTCCACGCATATCGGGTTGTTTGCTGCAAGAAAAAGGTCCACAAACATTCTGGAGCTGTAGGCGCCTACCATTACCCGTATTTGTTCAGAACCTTCTCCTGTTCTCACTCTTTGCCCTTTTTGGACCGTCACTTCTGGATCCTACCTCCGGCCACGACAGTGCCTAGCATTCACAGTTGGGGGTTTCCGAAAATTGGGGACCCGTATATAATACCCTAATTAGTAGGATCCTTTTTAGAAGGACCCAAAGCAAGGCACCCCTTTTTTTCGGAAACTCCTGGGTTCGAGGGGTGGTCCATATAAGCATTGCAAAGCACCCGAGCGGCCTGGTGGCCTTGGAAGAACTGACCAGCTTGGTAACGGACGACCTGCACTGCGACCGTGCCTACATGACAATGACAGACCCACATACCCCATACAGGCGACGACCATGCTTGCAAATTATCTCCAGAATGCACAAACCGACCTTGTAAGGCGCCTAGTGCTAGGCTCGAACCGAAGCCTGCCGCGATTTGGCTCCGATGTATGAAGGACAGGAGCGCGATCGTGCTTGCCGCACCAGCAAAACCATAGTGTGGTTTTTGGCGGGGCTGTGTGAGATGTTTTGTACTGAAGATTAAGAAGGCAAGCAGTGTCAGGATGTCTAGAGGCTCGCAAATTTGCCAGGCAACTTCGCGGCGACCTGTTCGTAAAGAGCGGGATGATTGTTACTGCTGTGTTCTCGCTGTTTGGATAGCTTGCTCGACTGCATGGTCACATCTAGACATCGCAACTGGTTTGCTCGCACACGCTCAATGCCTGGAAAGGCTCCATGTGCTCATGCGGCAGTCGCGTGAGCTCAGTGATGCGAGCGGTGATGTTCGCCAGAATCGCATCATTTGAATCCTTCCACGGCGAACGCTAAACTCTAGCACTGCATCGCAGGGAGGGATCGCACTCCCCTCTCGCAAGGCTTAACATTCTGAACTTCGGCGATGATGTGGCTTGCAAAGCATGTCCTTGCATAGCAGGCTAGCAGTCTCCGCATGCCGACAGCCGGATGAAGCCTCGAAGTAAGACCGGCGCCGTAAGAAGGGCGCATCGAAGGCTGAGGATGGCTGAGGCTTATCGTCAATTATTCCGAAATTACTCCCCCGTTGTTTAAAGAATTCGCCTGTGCGGACTGCGGACGCCCGTGCTTCGCGTGGTGTTCCATGTGTAGGCTCTAGGAAGCTGTCCCCAGGTCAGAGTGCCGGAAGCTCAGCTTACAAGTCAGCCCTGGCACCCCGCAGCAACTGCATCCCGGCGGTCAGCGACCCAGAGTCCTGTTGCGCGTTGAGCCAGGCCGTTTCTGAAGTCCGGCTGTCACCGGAGTCCTCATTTAGCACAGAGATCGAAGCAGACTTGTCTACCAGTATGTGCATCGGCAAGCTTCAAGAAAAACAAACAGAAGAACTCCATCTGCTATTCTTTCTGTTTTGAACTCGTGCTGAGGCCGAAGTGTGCGACGGGAAGGAGCGTTCTCCAAACAGCTCACGGCAACAATGATGCAAGGTGTAGCTTGCATCCAACTCAGGAACTCGTTTCAGAGATTAGACGTGAGATGCTCAATTGGCAATACCCAAGTCGAAGTAGCAACATAAAACGGAACTATGTGCACCGAGATTTTGTATCTTCAGGTACATCCTTGCACAGAATTGACGCGGTTTCTTGGCCGCACTCCGTATGGAGATGGAATGGAAGTGTGCAGCGGTTGACTTGGCCGCACTCATAAATTCACGTGCATGCTGCTTACTTCTTGGGGCACACATGGTACGATCGAGATAAATTCCAGACTGCTCCACAAGTCTTGGTACTTAGCTTTCGCAGCCTTGGCCACCGATCCACTGGAGGGAAGCTGTGTCAGGTCTTCTTGGCTGGTCAGAAGTTCCAGACTGCTCCACAGTCCTGGTAACTTTTCCCACCCGCCCAGCTGACAGAGTCGCACCGAAGGGAATTCGTCCGAACTGAAGACTGAAGAAGGGTGCAAGTCTTGGTAGCTAGTTTCCGCAGCCATGGCCACCGATCCACTTGAGGCAAGCCGTCTCTTCTTGGCTGGTCAGAAGCAGAACCATGATTCCGTACATGAGGCACAAGGCCGGGATCACAATGACCAATGTGGCCTTGACAGAGCTGGAGCCTGATTCTTTCTTTCGCCTCTGAGCATCCTTCTTCTGCCAGGGGATCATGGGCAGCAAAAACAAAGCAATCAGGGAGCTGCCATAGCTGAGCACATAGGACCAGGCAACTGTAGAGCGGAAGGTGCTAGTGTCTGCAACGTAGTTCTCAAGCATGGATAGGTTCGGGCTGAAAAGTCCGAAGATTTGATTGCTCACAACTGCCCCAAAGGGTGTACTCGAGCTCTGGAACGTATTGATGAGGCCGAAGCACAGCCCCTCCCGACCCGGCTCAGCAAGTTCGATGATCATCAAATTGGACACCAACTGGAGTGCGGCTTTGGGGATACTGCCAAGGACGTCTTCACCGAGGTAGAAATACGGGTTGCGGACGACGCCGAAAATGGTGAGGAATGTCGGGATTGCATCGAAGACAATGATGGCAACGACTGAGACGAAGACGGCCTTTCGCCAGCTGGACTGGAGCAGGCAAACCTTGTAGATCCAGGTCGCCAGCATCATGACAACCAGCCCTGCAAGGCCAAACGTTTGTTGCTGCAGGACTTTGACCTCGGCCCATCGGCTCCTCACCATTGGCCCGGCGGTGGTTGTTATTGAAAAAAGCAGCTGCACCAAGAATGCAAAGAAAAGGAGGTTCGAGAACGAGTTCTTCTGGACCAGCTCCCACGAAGACTTTACATGGGCATGGCAGGAGGTTTGGTCCGCGCATTGCCTGGGTTTCGGGAGCTCGTACACACAACAAACAGAGAGCGGGATCATGAAGACAACCAGAACGAAGCAAAAGGCCATGAGACCGCTGAAGGAGAACCCCCAATCAAACGTCCCCAGGTAGGGCTTGCTGTTCATGAGCACGCCAACGACCACAGTGGCGGCCAAGGCCCCGGCTGTGGACACCATAGTCATTTCCGCCTTGATGTGCCCTCGGCGTTCAACCGGCTCACGCTGCGAGTACTCAAGCAGGAGACCCTCACCGGCCGCGATGCCAAGCTGGATGCCTGCTGTCAGGATGAATAACCAGAACACGTACCAGTTCTTCTCGGTGCGGA